CAAAAAAAAAAAAAAAAAAAAAAAAAAAAAAAAAAAACCAAAAACAAAAAAAAAACCCAATGTTTTGTTAAAGCACACATAGCAAGAACACATGGGCTGCTTGAGAAACACTGTAGAAACCGTGGCAGAATCAGCTGAGCTGAGGGCAAAGGGCGGGGGGAATGCAAACCACTGAGTCCTGGGGAGCCCAGGTCACAGGCCGTGATGGAAGGGCAGCCCTGCTCTCTGTTGTTAATTAGTGACCAGGACTCTGGAATGCTGCCATGTGTCAGCACCTCACTTCCCAAGAGCATCATGGGGTGGACACACTGAGAGAGAGGGGTGGGTGGGACCACGTGAGAAGAACAAAATGGGAAGTGTGACCGTCACTTCTGTGCTTCAGGGGCACCTGACATTGATCTCCAAGTCACTGCTGGGAAGGAAAAATGCAACACAAAGCTCAGGTCTTCCTCAGTTTCTTCTTTGTTCAAGAACTCGGGGAAGGAAAATGAGCCTCAAAAAGTGCTCAAGTGTGGTATTAGCCGTGTGGGGGCCAAAAAAGGAGAGCACATGCGTCTATCTAGAGGGATACAAACGTTTCAGATGGCTAAGAGGGAGATCTGGTGGCAGAGGCCTCGTCATTTTCCTTCCTTATCTCATTCCTGCTGGTTGGTGGCCACAGGAGCCCGGGGCTGCTGCCTGTTAGGTTGCAAATCTTCCACACTTAGGGACGCAGGTGCTCAGTCATCAGTTCTAGGGAGGGATGGGGACTGAGAAGCATTCCGCTCCTTCATTCCCTTGTAGCTCTGAGCCTGGAAAGGAAGGACAGCCTACATGGTAGACAGGACAGAGAGATTCTAAGACCCCCCCCCAGGGGGTGCCAGAACCACAGATAGCATCTGTCCAATATATATTATGTGGCTTCTCCATGCCTATGTTTCCTACATATGCACAAAAGCTTAACAGTAGCTAAATAACACTGGAGAGCGGGCGACATTCTCTCTCCCCTCTCTCTCTATTTTGTGCTCTGCTCACCTGGTGCTCGCGTGGTGTTGTGATGTCATGCAGTATTTGTGTGATGAGGTGACTCAGGGATGGCAATGTAGCGTTAGAGTATTGTTGGCCTTCTGACATCCACTTCTCTCTGAAATCTTCCATTTAGTTTTTTTTTTTTTTTAAATGGGTATAACTGAAACCACAGAAGAGAAAATGGAGGATACGGGCTGGGAACCTCCATGAAGCACCCTGTTCAGCCATTAAAAACATCCCCTTCTCTCCATCCCTCCCTCTCTCTCCTTCATTTCTACCGTCAGAGCTTTCTGTCCTCACAAGCGCCTTCAGAAAAGGGCCAGAGTTTCTGTTGACAGGGCCCCAGTATCCCTGCTTGTCACATGAGTGCCTTAGAGGATTGGGAAGATCAAAAGCAATTCTAAGCTGGATGGAATCTCTAAGTTTCTAAGGCGTGTATGAAATAAAGGAAGTTCCCAGGGGTTTACAGAACTTGGCAGGTACGAAGCATAAACTTCCTTTCAGCGCTGATTGTAGTTGTACGGTTATCAAACCCCCATCCCTCCTAAGAGGCCTTATTCTCTTCCGTTCTTGGTGAAGCGTTTATTCCTGGGCCAAAGCTGGGCTGACAAACTCCAGCGCACCTTAGCAAGCGCACCTTAGCAAGCGCACCTTAGCAAGCGCACCTTAGCAAGCAGCCCACAGCTGCTTGCTCCGGTCTGAGAGCACAGAAGCAGCAGTCAGGGGTGTTCCCTGCCCCCACCAGGGAGAAAGCGCCGCCGGAGCTCAGAGCCTGCAGCTAAAGTGTACACGCAGCATCCTGCTGGCCAGAGTTTCCGGGCGCTGTGAGAACTCTTAGGTCTCAAGACACTTTTCTCTGCAAACGGATCATTGCCGAGGTCAAATGGCTTCCATCATATTGCAGCAACTCAGAAGCTCCACCAGAAATAGAAGTACTCCCGAAACCTAGGCAGGAACTTGAACCACCGCAAACCCCAGGAGCAGGAGGAGGGCAGCACCGGCAGAGTCCTTTTTTACAGCACCTAGTAAAATACAAAAGTTCACTCTGGATGTTTAAGAGTGATTCCGGCAACTCGCAATGTGCCACCATTTTCCCCAAGTCCACTGCCACTCTGAAAAGCGCTCCGTCTTTAGCTTCCGACGGAGTGCTTGATTGCGAAGAATAGGCTAGGGAGCTATGCATTTGCTCAGTGGATCTGCGTGGTTACCTAATTTCCTCAAGCCCAACCGGCCAGGGAGAGACGGGCTCCAGGCGGCAGGGGTTCTGATGATGAATGAGGGCTTGCAAGTGTTCCCACGAGCTGAATGGTTCACCTGCAGTGACGCTGGGCTCCAAGGGTGGCTGCCTAGTTGTTAGTGGGAGCTGAGGTAAAGCAACAGCAGGACACCGTGGGGGGGCAAAAAACGCTGCGGAAGCCGGCTGCTGGATTTTGCATTATGTGCGATCTGTGGGACACTGGACAGCTTCATTCTTGCTGCTTGTTTTCCTTGTCCCAAAAAGGCCAAATGGGAAAAGCGCCCCGTTCCTGGCGTACAATAAGCGCCACGTAGCTGAACTGTGTTATCTCCTCAGAGGGCTGGTAGGTGACCTTTTAAAGAGGTGGCTATAAATAGCAAGGGCTGGTCACTGTTTAACAGCCAGCTCTCTGGGGAGAGAGCTCTGGGCACAGTGCTGGCTAATTTTCAGGGTTCAAACATTCCCTTCTCGACTGATACCAGGCTACTAATGTGAATGCGTCTGTCGCTTACTGTTCCGATATGAAATACAGAGGGGAAGAAGTGATAGCGGCTGGCATGGGGGAGCTGGCATGCGACAGGCGACAACACACAGGTGCCAGAGGAAAGATGAGATGGGAGGGGCAAGGAGACTGAAGTGGAGACCAGGCCTGAGGAATCGCTGAGCGGACAAAAGCAATCAAGTCCCGAGGCGACCTGAGCTCTGATTTGCAGACACAGTGGGATACTGACCTGAGCTAGTTCTTGCAGACGTTCCCATTGAAGAGAAGCAGGACGTGGGGCTGAGAAGATGGTTCAGAGGATAAAGCGATTGCCACAGAAGGATGAGGAAAGGAGTCAGTTTCACAGAACCCATGTAAATACCAGTCGGAGATGGCGAGCTACCTGAATCTCAACACTTGGGGAGTGGACACAGGGGATCCCTGGGGCAGGCTGGCTGGCTGGACTAGCTGAATCTGTAAGGTTTGGATTCTATATAAGAGAGGGCTCCTGAGGACGACACTGATACCAACTCTGGCCTCTACAGGCATGAGTACATATGTGCATGCACACTTGCACACACATCTAGATATGCCCACACTGTAGGCTCATATTTCTATATGGTGTGGCAGCCGGGCTCTAAAGCCATAGGCCCCACCTGAGGTGGTCACTTAGCCTTCCAGACAGGCTGCCGCTGCCCTAACAAAAGGTCAGGATGTTGTTTTGCTCTTTTCTTTGTAATTTGGACGATGCCTGATAGAGTTGCTGATTCAAGCCTATGGGACTGCTAACACACAGCTAGCGCACAGGTTGTTGTGGATGTGACTAAAAGCCGGTCACCTGGTTACCTAGGAGACAGAATGCTAAGGTATTTCCCCTAAGTTACAAAAAGAATTTCTTCAGGATGTGAACTCAGGATTACATGGGGGCTCACTGAGAATCTCCCTCCCGACAGAGCCACGTGAGTTGTGTCTTTATTTCCGTGCTTCCACGCCGGACCAGAGAGAGAGTTTATGTTGGGGTCTGGTCAAGAGAAATAATTGAGGGTCTAGCCTGGAAAGAAGGAACAGTAAGGGAACTCGACAGGAGCCTGGGGGCGGGAGTCTGGGGGCGGGAGTCTGGGGGCGGGACCTGGAGGCGGGCTCTGAAGCAGAGGCCGCGGAGGAGAGCTGCTTACTGCCTTGCTCAGCCTGTTCTCTTACTACACCATCACAGGTGTGGCACTGCCTCCTGTGGGATGCCCCCCACCTGCATCAATCACTAATTAAAAATTTGCACCAGATGCTTGCTTACAGGCCAGTCTAGCCGGGGTCGTTTTTCTCAGTTGAGGTTCACTCTTTCCAAATGACTATCTTGTGTTGAATTGACACAAAAGTAGCCAGCACAGACCTTGAACCGAAGCATCTGCTCTTCCTGGGTCTCAAGCCTGGCCAGCTCCAGAGGCACACACCATCACCAGCTATTCTGGGTCTCCATCTCGCTCTGGCAACCCCGTTAGTGTTATGGCTATAGAAGCTGATCGGCTATAAGCCCAGTCTCACCCCTTGCCCCCACATAAGGCACATACCGTGGCTAGCTTATGTGATGAGGGTCCCATGGAAGAGCTGAGGAAGCCCCAGTTCTAGTCCCCTCCTTGTAGCACCACGTCACGGACATGCCTGCAGTGACACAGACAAGCTCCTGCTCTGTCAGTCATTGTATATGTGTGTGTATATATATATATATATACATATATATATATATATATGACACGGTTCTGCACTCGATAACATATGTTATTCCCGATAAGGATAATAAGTGACTGTGTTAACAGTTTATATAGTTACTAGGCTTTATCTTTATTGTTATTTAATTACACTTATTTTTAATATTGTTTGAAATCCTACACCTGGAAGCCTGAAGCAGGAAGATTGTAAATTCTAGGCCTCCCCTGGCTACATAACAGTAGCCTGTCTCAAAAAGAAAGAAAGGGGGAAATAGAAAAGAAAACTAAAGGAGGGAGGGAGAGAGGGAGGAAGGGAGGGAGGGAAGTAGGAAGGAAGGAGGGAAAGGATAGAAAGGATAGCTCCTGGCACAGCTGGAACACAGTTTGCATTTGAAAGCCAACAAATTGGGTGACTTAAGATTTCCTTCAGTTTAGAAAGATAGTGATGATATTATGCCAAGTTCTTTATGGCTCAGGAGTCAGAGTTCTGATAACTTCATTTTATAGGTCATAAGATAAATGGCATTTGTTTCTTTCTGCTGTTACAATCACTACTGCAAATAAATATTATTGTAATCTACTTGTTGGCATTCATTATAAATGTGTATTTGGCACAAGTTCTTAGATTTGGAATTTCAAAGATGTTTTAAACATTACCAACATATATTTATGACATTAATTATATACAACACTTCCTAGTCAGGCATATTGATTCATGTCTACACTCCTAGCATTTGGGAGGCTGAATGTTCATAAATTCAAGGTCACCTCTGGCCACATAGTGAGGCCCTATCTCAAAGTTTCTACCATTCATCCCACATTCTGCTAAAATCTCACTCTTTCTTAGTGTACAATATAGTGACTTTGACAAATGTATTTAGCTGTGTGATGACATCAAGACACAGGACCAGGGAATCACTCCAAAATTTCCCTCACACTCTTCGCTGTCAATCATTGAGATGATTTTATTTCTCATTGAGCCTGCAGGCTCCATTCCTCCTCTTAGTTAACTAGTGAGATTAGGAGACTTTGTTCACTAGGAAGACTAGTGACCCCAGTCTTTCAGGAGTGGGGACAGAGTCTTAGTTAAGCTTTCTACTGCTGTGAAGAGACACCATGACCATGACAACTCATACAAAGGAAAGCGTTTAGATGAGGTGACAGTTCACAGTTCCGGAGGTTCAGTCTGTTTTTATCGTGGCAGGGAGCGTGGTACCTTACAGGTAGATGTGGTGCTGGAGAAGTAGCTGAGAGTCCTACATCTTGCAGGCAACAAGAAGTGGTCTGAAAAATCACACTAAGGGAAGCTTGAGCAGAAGAGACCTCAAAGCCTGCCCACACGGTGACATACTTCCTCCAGAAAGGCTACACTTACTTCAGCAAGGCCACACCTCCTAACAGTGCTGTTCTCTATGGGCTTATTGGGGACAATACATTCAAACTACCACAGAAGGTCTTTCTCCCTAAAGAAAGAAATGGGCTTTTTTATTGTACCCTGGAGGACTAGAGTTCATCAGAAGAAGCTGGATGTGCAGTTCGGTGGTGATTAGCCTTCCTCGAGAGCTACAATATGACAAGGCCCTTTTAGGCCACCAGTGTGTGCATATCCCTCAATACGTACGCCAACTCCCTCTAGAGTCTGCACAGATGTTGTTGTTTAGCCGTTGGGAATACTTGAACTTTCTCTGCAGGCACAAACATTAAAGTAGTGTGCGCGTGCGTGCATGCGTGCGTGCGTGTGTGTGTGTGTGTGTGTGTGTGAGTGTGTGTGTGTGTTTGTTCAGGTTCCTGTGTTGTTCATGTGTGAGGAGGCAGAGGTGTTTTTTCCTCAGGGATGCCACCTACCTTTGAGACAGGGCTCACATTGACCTGTAGTTTACAAAGCATGTGTCGCTGTGCCAGAGTTTTGATAAGGGTTCTGGAGAGTGAAGTCAGGTCCTCAGGCTTGCAAGGCAAATGCTTTGCTGACTGAACCAATGGACCATCCTCCCAGGGCCAGTTTGAACTTTAAAGTCTGAAGTCCATGGTGTGGATGTCTGTGCAGGACATTTCTCCCACAGGTACTTTAAACTGTCCTGTGTTTCAGGGCTTTGAAAGAACAGACGCCGGAAAACCAACAGATGATTCTGGCCTATGGAAACCCTGACAGAAAGAGCTCCAGAGAGGTTTTCTTTAATTTAGGCAGAGCTGTCGTAAGTGTTGAAGTTTAGGGCTTAGCTGGGGGCTCAGCTGCCATGCAGAGGTGGTAAGGAAACATTAGCCATGGCTCTCGCTCCTCCTCCTCCTCCTCCTCCTCCTCCTCCTCCTTCTCCTTTATCTTATGTTTTTTGAAACAGGGTTTTTCTGTGTATTCCTGGCTGTCCTGGAACTCACTTTGTAGACCAGTCTGGCCTCAAACTCAGAGCTCCACCTGCCTCTGTCTCCTGAGTGCTGGAATTAAAGGTGTGTGCCATCACTGCCTACCGGCTTTCTCTCCTTGCTGGGTACTACCAAACAATCACTGTCCACATTGCAAAAGTTTCAAATGAAGACACACCGGTCAAAGGTGTCCCATTCTGGTCATCAGGGTTTGAAGACTATTTTGGGAAAGAAGTAAATAAAAATAGGACTGACTCCCTTGAAGGGAATCAGAGTTCTAACTAGGGAATCTTAGCAGAGAAGACTAAGCATATCAGAGACCAGCTAGGGGAACACTGAAGACAAATTCATTTATTGCCTGTTTCCACCAGGCAGAGTTGTAAAACATCACTGATCAATGTGAGCAAGGCAGATGGAGTCTCACAGGGACAAAAAACACAGCACCAGTAACTGGCTGATTGCCATATTTGGCAGATTGGAAAATGGTTCCCAAACCCACCTGAATAAGAAACACCTCCCTGTGGGTCCTTGTGAGATTTGATTTCTGATTTCCAGGGTGCCAAGAGGCTCTCGGCGGAGAGGAGTAGGGAACGGTCTGACTGCCCGTCTTCCTGTCTGACATCCCTCTGTATTGATTGACCTGAGTACTTAGGCCATTTCCCCACTGAGGAAACTGTAATTGCGCTCGCTCGGCACTCTGAGTCCACTGCTCTCTCAGGCAGAGCGGACTGTCTCACTCCTAATTGGAGGTGAACTCCGGGGGAGGCAGCAGGAATCTAATTTATTGGTTTTGCTTTTCCGGTTGCTT